TCTTTCCCTGGTTTTCTCTATCAAACTTCTGGTTTCTCTGCCATTTTGCTTGTTGCTACAAGTATCATGGAGCTATGAGTGCCTTCTTAGTCGCTCTCAACCAAAATCTCGTTTTCAACAATACCCTTAGCATGAACTTTTCCACCCTCTCCTCCAAATAAAATCAGTCCCCCTCGGACAGAGCTGGGAGCTCTTAGTTCTTATGGTCTGACTCTCCCCTGGAGAGAATCTCTGCACCACCGCACAGGATCTAGGCTTAGGGACAGCAACCCACTTATCCTAAACTGAACATGTCTTCTCTAAAAGTGGGCTCTGGGCTAAAAGTAGCTCCTGGTCTTCTTGGCTTGCCCCTCTTGGTGCAGAACCTCCCCCCATAAGCAATCTGGGGTGGGGATTGCGGGTGGGGATTGAGGTCCCAGGATTCTCAGCCTGTGCACCTGGAGTAGAGCCTCTGCACTACTGGTAGGGTCTGGGGGGAGTCCCTCCTCTTCTTGGCTGCACCAAGTAGGGTGCCTGGAATAGAGTTTCTGTAAGGTGGAGTCGACAGGGGAGGGAGTGGGTTGTAGCTCAGTTGCCAAAGAAATCTTATTGAGATTTAGGTTTTCTTGAATGAATCATTCCATTTGCTGTATGCCCTTAGGACAATTTCCAGAGAATTTTAATTATTGTTTTAAATCATTTTCTCCAGTTAAATGGTTGTTTTGTTGGGGGGAGAGTCCACCATGCCCTTCACTCCAACATTCCAGAAACAGATTCACTTCTGTAATTTTTTACTGTATTTTCATCCAGCAATGTTGAATGCATAGGCTTTATTGGTCTCTCAGCTATTGTGCATATTTCTCTACTCAAGACTGCCTGATAACTTAACCTGTAAGATGTCCTAGCAGTTTTTTCATATCTAATTTTAAAAGATGGGAGAAATAAATTTGGTCTCTCCAATATTTAAATCATTCAATTCCTTTAAATTCAGAATAATTGGTCTTAAAGTGATAATGCAACTTAAGTGGCACAGTAGTACTGAAAATGTTCTATTGCATAAGATAACAACAAACTAAAGTAAGATGTTGACACTGTGGAAGACAAAATGCACTGGACAATTAAGGAGATGATTCTATTCAGCCTATTGCACTAGGGAAAAGGGTTCAAAGAAGTGGAAGGGGGTCTGGGACTTTATAGAGGCAGATAAACAAGGGAGTCATGAAAAAGGGTGGAGGCAGGTCCAATCTGCAAGCACAGGGTGGTCCTTCACAATTAGCCGTCTTCCAGAACATTAGAGTGTCAATGTGGTTATTCTCCTCAAATTTCAGCTGTTGCTGAACTCAGAGGCAACCATAAACCTCCTGTGTAGGTGAGGAAGGGTAGAAGTGTTTATATCTCAGGCATTCTTGTTGGTGTTTTGTAAAACCATTTGAACCATCTGTTGGAAGGTGGTGGCGAAGGTCAGTTCTTTCAGGGTCCTAGAGATCAGACTTCTTAAAAGAGGGAAACCTAAATGAAAAAGGAATATAAAAGCTGTATGAAAGTAAGAGCACCAGATTGAACGCTGAAAGTACCTAGTCCAGCAGATTCTAAGAGGTCAGTGGAGGAAAATCTTTCAGTTATGCAGCAGCACTGATTATTGAGCCTCTTAAAGCCCCCTTGCTAGATGTCAATGCTTTTGGTGATGCTGTTCACAGTCTTGGTTGCCTCCATACTGGACACGTATGACCCGAGCCTTTGGCCCACCTGTCCAGGGAAATCCAGCTCATGAAATGTCTGCTGCAGCAATAACTCCTTCCAGGTTTGTAACAAGTCACCAAGCTTCTCCAGATCCTGGGGAAATGGCCAGGCAATCCAGAGACCCAACAGGGATCTAGCTGGTCAGGCTTCAGCCTTAGTGATGCCAAGTTGGGTGGGAAGGAGGAAAACTGGAAACATTCATTTGGAGGGTTGTTGCCAGATGCTGACACAAACTGGAGACACTGAAAATTTAGTAAGGTTTGACAATTTGGGAAAGGTAGCAGGGTCCAGTTCAATGTGCAAGTAGGTACCAAAACCGATTCTTCCAGTGTCAAGGAAGTCAATTAAATCTCTACCAGATAAAGGCTTCCCTGGTGGCACAGTGATTAAGAATCCACCTGACAATGCAGGGGACACAGGTTCGAGCCCTGGTCTGGGAAGATCCCACATGCTGTGGAGCAACTAAACCCGTGAGCCACAACTACTGAACCCACATGACACAACTACTGAAGCCCATGAGCCTAGAGCCCATGCTGTGCAACGAGAAGCCACCACAATGAGAAGCCTGCGCACCTCAACGAAGAGTAGCCCCTGCTCGCCGCAACTAGAGAAAGCCCCCGCGCACAGCAATAAAGACCCAACGCAGCCAAAATAAATAAATAAATAATTTTTTTAAAAAAACCTTTACCAGATAACACAAAGCTTGCACCTCCACCAGTTACCTACAATTTACAAAGTAAGTGCAAAGTGGCTCTGAACACCTAGAAGAATGTGCAGTGCATAGTTTTCTACTGAAACACAATTTTTGCTCTCAGGTCTCTAATCTCAAAGATACACTAATCTTGCCTGCAAAATAAGTCTGGCCTCATTAGATCTGGCCTGGTGTTTTCACAGATGCAGCAAGAATGGTAATTTTCCTTAGGCCTTCCTAAGTTCGCTTTCTGGGTCTTTGTTGCTGTGCACGGGCTTTCTCTAGTTGTGGCGAGCGGGGGTTACTCCTCGTTGCGGTGCGCGGGCTTCTCATTGCAGTGGCTGCTCTTGTTGCGGAGAGCGGGCTTTAGTGGTTGCAGTACGCAGGGGCTCAGTAGTTGCAGTGCAGGGGCCCTAGGGCACGTGGGCTTCAGTAGTTGCAGCATGCAGGCTCAGTACTTGTGGCGCATGGGCTTAGTTGCTCCACACGGCATGTGGAATCTTCCCAGATCAGGGATTGAACTTGTGTCCCCTGAATTGGCAGGAGGATTCTTAACTTCTGCACCACCAGGGAAGTCCTCAGAGTGCACTTTTTTTTTTTTTTGCGGTAAGCGGGCCTCTCACTGTTGTGGCCTCTCCCCTTGCAGAGCACAGGCTCCAGACGCACAGGCCCAGCAGCCATGGTTCACGGGCCCAGCCGCTCCACGGCATGTGGGATCTTCCCGGACCGGGGCACGAACCCATGTACC